CACTATACTAAATTAAGTGTGTCCCTCACTTCATCATGTATTCACGTCGTCTCCTCTATCTCTCTGTGCCTCTCTGATTTGACACCCTGGCATAAAATGGACTATATTATCCTCTGCTTCATGTCATATTTTCTATCACCATTCACCAACCTACCTTTTTCCAGCTTTTATATTTTTGAATTCTGCCACAGAAAAAATGGGTACCAATTTATGGCTTTTGCATGGGACCAAACTGCCCTATTTGGCTTCATAAAGTGTTTACGTCGTCTCCTAAATTGGAGGGTAGTACTATAATTCATTGAAATGGAATTTTGTGACTTGCAATAAAGGCATTCTTTTTAGCTGGAAATGTTGTTGAAAAATAAAAGTTCTCTGTTTTATACAATGCTTTCTTATAAAATATTTTGTCCATAAATAATAATTATTAAGTATAATCATGTTTGCATGTGTTATTAATCCACCTCACCTCATGTTTGACAGATAACCTAATAAGCAAAGCCCCTTTATTAATTTACCATAAAGGAAAATAAGAAAGAGGAATACAATGTTGAGCTATCAAGCATCAAGCGTTTTTTATTGGCAAGGAAAAAAAAACGAGAAAGTATCAAGTTTTCTTTCAGAACATGCCCAAACATGCAGGTCAACGATGAAAATGCTTTTATGCAAATTTCCTATAAAGCATAACATTAATATTCTACAAAAATTCTATAAATATATCCTTAAATAGAGTCCTTGATCTATATATATATATATATATATATACATAAATTCTCCTATGGGGATATTATTATCGTGTTGTGGACGCTATGTATTTTTTATTACCTCTCTTTGCTTTCCTTCATGTTTACAATAACATTTATACGATAATAGCGTGCAGACATCCGGATGAAAGAACAACTGTATACATATATGTATCAATTAGTTGGAGGCCAACAATTCGAGCAATGAAAAAGTTGCCTGCCAAAGTAAATGGATAATTTTAAAAAACTTTGTCAACTAGTTCAACTGAGTGCATATTCACAGTTGTATCATTTACATCTCCATAATGAAAGACGTGTATTTGTCATATGGTGTAACAAAATAAACGAAGACAAAACTAAAACGATGTCAATTTGGTTGCAAAAGATGATCAAATAACATTGTTAAATCAATTATTAACAATGATTTATTAGAGTCCAAATTTGATTGGATCATTCCAATAGAATTTGATTTAGACAAACCGTCCCAACGACTCCGAGGGCCAAATCTACCTGAAATTTTTGTTTCATGTCAAAAGTGAGTTTTGTACTTTTATGCAGTACCAAATTGTTGTTAAAAAAATGTTGATTACTGCCAAGAAATTCAATATAAGTCCTAAAATGCATCGTGATTGTTGCGTGAAACACTGTACCCTATGTGCATCGAGACCCCAACTTTGATTTTTGTTACATAAACATGATCTCTGTCACTAATTCACTATTTATGGCTGGATTAACTAAGATAAGATGGGGTCAAACAACCCATACAAGCAAGAAGAATAATCAGGGGTGTGTTAAAAATCGCTACGAGCTTATGAACTACAATGAGGAATGTTAGCAACCTTCTCTTTAACCTTCTCATGTGGACCTTCTCCATTTTTTGTTTGACATGTGTCATTCTCCTTACATTTAAAATAATGTCATTAATATATTATGCAAGTTAACTTTTGCTTTCCAAATGTACCCTTATTAAATGTATTCAATTTATCCAAAAAAAATTCACAACTTTCTTACCATCTTATTAAATTTTTTTTAACTTCAATTATTTTTTTTAAAGAAAATGTTTGCTTTATAAAAAAAAAGAGGAAATGTCCTTTTTTTAAATAAAAAAAAGTATAAACTTGACGTTAAAAAAAAAGAGACATTTCCTCTTTTTTTTAAAAGCAGACATTTTCTTAAATAAAAAATAATAATAAGATGGTAAGAAAGTTGTGAATATTTTTTGGATAAATTGAATAAATTGAATAAGGGTAAACTTAGAAAGCAAAAGTTAGCTTGTATAATATATTAATGACATTGTTTTCAGTGTAAGGAGAATGAAACATGTCAAATAAAAAAGAAAAAGGTCCAAAAGATAAGGTTAGAGATAAGATTGTTAGCATTCCCCAACTACAATTTTGCTAAAATCAGTTGCACACATGTATATGTTCACATTTTTAACCGTACGAGTGCCACAATCAAAACTTATTTATTTGTGTGTGGGCGGCAGAACATAACATAGCTTCATCACAAGTACATAAATCTATGAGGTTCCAGTTTAGTCTTGATGTAAAAAACTCAAGTATGGAGGAAATAAAAAGAAAAAGAAAACGATAAAAAAAAGAAAAAAGAAAAAAGAAAAAAAGAGAGGCAGGCGAGCAGAAAGTGGCGAATGCCGATCAATCCATTGCTTAAGAATAAAGGGGTATTATTGGCAGTTAAAGCTGCCATGGCTTTTGTCATTTTCAAATATTAAATGTTTCCCCGTGACAGATTACTGAACACAAAGAAACGGAACATACATAATTACTAGGTAGCCCATCTCACCGGGTGGGAGTTTGATTGATTTAAGAAAGGCAAAGCTGGTGAAAATTAAGTGAAAAACATCACCTTTACGGTGCGTGGCCTTACCTTAACTCCATCAATTTGCTTTCCTTTTCAAATGTGGTTCTATTTCAGGACATGATTTTGTTGTTGTCTGAGCAGATACTAGTGCTCTTTCTCTAATGGGGTTGCTTATATCTTCTTTGTGACGCTCCCTCCACGCCCATAAGCATAACCCCACTTGAGCAAAAGGAAGGTTCCTTAAAGCTGAAGCCTTTTTGAATCAAATGGGTCTGAGCAGACCTCACAAGGTTGGCAATGGAGTCTCCGCCAGATGGGTCTCTCTCTTTTGCATTGCCAGCTTCTTCTTGGGTGTTCTTGTTGTTTCTGGATTCGAAGTTTACATTTTTGCTGGCTTTATGTAACCATTGGACTAATGGGTACTAAACAACTTGTCTTAATATAGAGATACTTGAATTAGCAAATTCAAATAAGTCTCTTGTTGATATATGATATTATACTGTAAGGGAATTATACCTGTTGCGATCTCCTTCATTTTTAGTGTGGTACAGTAGATTCAGTGATGTTTAGCTTTGGACTCTGAGTCTGAGAGGTTTAGTCTGATTGGATAATGAGTTCCCCGTGATATTGGGAGCTCATTTGCTTGGAAAGTTGATTTTTTAGTTGAGTAGAAATTGGGGAGCTTGCTGATCGATTGTTAGTTGAAGACCAGGCACTGGGCAAATGGTTTTTGAAAGTTAACTCCTTGATGGGGTGGTAAACAAATTAATGGCTGCCAGTTGAGAAGGTTCAATAGTGCTATTTCTAGCAAATGGATGAGTCGGTGATAGGCTGGCTATCCTAAATGTTGGACCGTAGTCTTGGATAAGTTGATGTTTAGATGAACTCATGACTGGTGACTTGGTTTCAATCATAGGTTCACATTGTACTGAAACTTTTTTTACTTGAAGAAGTAAATTCTGGTCATGATAGTTTCTGTTAGTGTTGTAAAAGGGACGTGAAGATTACAAATGAGAACAACTTCAATACCAATATGCACCCAATAATACTTTGGGTTAAACTACCATAAAGTAGTGAGTGAGTTGATATGTAGAATGTGAGGAAAGGAAGTTGTATCAAACGAATGTAATAGGAACAAAATTTCAAGGAAAAGTAAAGAGCTTAAACCAAGAACTAAGGCTAAGAGATATATTAATTTGTGGCTAGGCTAAGAGGCAAACATAATGTTCTGTATATTATTTTTGTATGAATTGAGGTTGTAGGGATCATCTATCCCACTAATGTGACAAGGATAATATAATTGTCTAGTCCATATTATTCTTTTCTACATAAATATCGGTCAGTTGCTCATGTTTATCTTGCAGGTTATGGGGTGTTCCTGATCCAGAAAAAATTGATGAGGAGGCTTCATCACTGGAGAAACGTCAATTAAGAGCTCTGCATCCCAATGTTAATTGTGAGAAGAAGGCAAGTTCCAAGTTACTAGATCCGTATATTCATTAGCCCCATTTCTGTGGTAATACAAATTAATAATTTATCTATGCTACAACAGGAGGCAGCTGACCGTGCGGGAGACATCATTTTTCAAGTCTCACAAACACATGATGTGATCATGTAACTTCCCGTGTCCTTAATTATATTTATATTGTAATTATACACACATTTTTTGGGATGTTATTGTATAACTGAAGCTGGTTCATCATATGGATAAATTTATGTTACATGTTTCCAGGGCATTAGATAAGACAATCTCCTCATTGGAGGTTCAGCTAGCGGCAGCTAGAGCTTCCAAAGCTGACAATGGTGAAGGATCTCCAGTGGTTACTAAAACAGGAAGGGAGCCATTGAAAGAGCGCCAGAAGGTTTTCTTTGTCATGGGAATCATGACTGCCTTCAGCAGTCGAAAACGAAGGGAGTCAATCAGGGAAACGTGGATGCCCCAAGGTGGAAATCCAAAAACTCAGTATCCATTCTCTTGCATAAAAAATTAGTAGCTGCTAATAAGAAAGAAAATATTTTTTTTGGGCACTTTTCCAGGGGACGAGTTAAAGAAGTTAGAGACAGAAAAGGGAATTATAATGCGGTTTGTTATTGGACACAGGTAGGCTTGCTCTACATTGCAAGTGACTAGCTTAATAAACTGGTTACTTCAGAATGAAAAGTTTGACAAAATTTACGGGTTCATTTTTTGTCCTCAGTGCAACACCAGGTGGCGTCTTGGATCGTGCCATTGACGCGGAAGATGAGAAGCATAAGGATTTTTTGCGACTGGTAAGTAACTGAGTGCCTAGGACCAAGTAACCTGTTAACTCCAGTCAGTTATTTGGAGACTCATGCAATGCTTGATGCAGATATATTGTCTTGGGAACCAATCAAAGGAACAAAATTCTTAAACCCTTTGGTGGGCTTTTTATAGTTGTTTTAAGTTTAAGTTCTCCTTTGGTTCAAAGTTGAAATCACTTCTGTAGACCTTATGCGGTGTTACCATTGTATGTCTGCAGAACCATATAGAAGGATATCACGAATTGTCATCAAAAACCCAAATCTATTTTGCGGCAGCTGTCACTAAGTGGGATGCTGACTTCTATATTAAAGTTGATGATGATGTGCACATAAATCTTGGTTAGTGTATATGTTTTCTAATGCAGCTGTTTCTGCTATGGACACTGGTGGGCAAAAAATTGATGCAAATTCGGGGGCAAAAAATTAACTTCAAGTCTCATCATTTGACAGGAATGGTTGGTTCTACTTTGGCCCGACATAGATCAAAACCTCGTACATATATTGGTTGCATGAAGTCTGGACCTGTCCTGGCAAATAAGTAAGCAGCCAAATATTTTGCATCTCTCTGGTTTTATTTATGTTCATCATTCTTCATCCGTACCTTTTCTGATAGGGGGGTCAAGTACCATGAACCGGAATATTGGAAATTTGGAGAGGAGGGAAATAAGTATTTTCGTCATGCAACGGGTCAAATATACGCAATTTCCAAAGATTTGGCAACTTACATTTCAGTACATAGGTAAGTCCTCTCTTATATGCACAAGACAGTTTCTGCATTTTGTTCTCGTTATATATCTTGAAAATGTCATTAATTTTTTTTTTTTTCCCTCTCTAGGCACATACTTCACAGATATGCAAATGAAGATGTCTCTTTGGGTTCTTGGTTTATTGGTCTTGATGTTGAGCACATTGATGAAAGAAGCCTTTGCTGTGGGACTCCTCCTGGTAAGTGCTGGGAAATATGATTTTCAGTGAATTAAACTGTTAGTTTCTTTAGAATCAGTTTGTAGTTTTATTGAGAAGCAATATCTCCTTGGCTATTAAAACTCATCTGAAAAACTTCTTATGAAAACTGAGGCATTTTGCTAGCGTAGCTTCTAACTAAAGATCACATTATTATTAGTTGATTTTAGAGATTATTAAACTCTCTGCTGTATGTTTAAACCCTCTCTATCTCTTATCTCTAGAATGTG